GGCTCTATTAACCCTTTTTGGACCAAAGGGGCACCACTGATATTCCTTTTCCTTTGACTTTTACCATCTCAAATGTAATAAGCCTTCAAGCTTGTGGCCAGTAGTCAGAAACTTTTTTCTTTCTAAAATTCTTTTAAACCTCTATATGGGCATAATAACTGTATAGAAACATTAACAAGTTTCATTATATTTATGAAGTATGATAATAAAAATTAAAAACAGGGTAATACCAGAAAACACTTCAGGATTGCTTCAAATTCCATCAGTGTTAAACCCTTAAATAGTTAGTTCATAATATTCTAACTACAAAAGACACCATTAGCTAGTGAGTAGTTTTCTTACACAATCAAAAGTTTAGAACTAACAGACATAAACAGTAACAATATAATGGAAAGTACAATAAAACATAAGTGGGGCATACGTGTAATAATGTTAAGATAAACTATTATAAAGAAAGGCTTAAATATAAGTATAAACATTGCATCTTTAAAATAATGATAATAATCACATAAAAAACTGGGAATCTGGAATTTATCAAAGTAATGACAAGTTGATGTTATTATTTAGTGTTGGTGATCATTCAAAATGGAGATGCTTTCTTTAATATGAAGTAAATTAAAGTTCCCTTAAATTTTTGTTTTTGCTATTTATTCTAAATATTTTTTGTTGGTATGAACCTCTATGTTAAATGTTTTAAGTTAAAAGATTTATAGGATTAAAATGTACTTAGAACAACTTTTAAGGGCTATGTTTCATATTACAATATATATATATTTAAACTCTCAAGAAGTAAATTTTAAAAAATGTAGTGCTATTATATACAATGTTATTGTGCTCAGTAATAAAAAAAAGTCCCTTCCTTAGAAGATTCTGAAAGTATTTTGTTTAAGAGGGAAGGCAGGTAATCCAAATCACCCACCAATAATTCGTGGGTTGCCTCATGCATGATCAAATACTGTGATTTGCCCATCATTCTAAATCTCCAAAGTATGAAGTACATTTTTATAGCAACAGGTTATGAACTACAAATCCCTAGATTCACAATCTGGACATTCTAGTCACAAGGCCCTTCAGAAATGAGACAATATTACTCAATATTGCTCCTTTTGATGCACATATATTTGTGGTATTTGTAAAATACTTATCACTAACAACAAACAACAAAATCACAAACTTTATAATTAAGAGTAAAACCTTTTAATATTAAACAAGACATGGTTCACTAATTGTAAGTAAAGATCTACACAATGAAAACAATAAAATGTCTGATATTAAAAAATTGTAACAACTTAGTATAATCTATGAAGTGGAAATCAAATAGTATTACTTATTTAAGATCATATTTACACTGTTCAATGAAATTTTTTAAAATTAATTTATTTGAGGTAAAAGAGTTTCTTAGCATGAAACCCTATGGAAGAAAATAGCTTTCAACTTCCCTAAATGTTCCCAAGAGAGTTAAGTACATACACCTTTTGTTTCTTAGCAATCTCAAATAATAGGACTTTGCTTCAAATTTTTATAAGTTACAAATATTTTGTAAAACTACTCTCACATTTTCTTTATGACTATTTCTTCTTAAAATGTAACTTAACATTTTCTTAAATCGAAAATGTATTTCCAATAATACTTAACTACAGCTATTACTCAACTGCCATGGTTTCCTTCCTTTGCCTATCTACACATTGGTATGAATTTTTTCTCCTGCTCCAGTCTTTTACTCCCCACTTATTTGCCCTAAGCGATATCTGTCATGTGACACTCTCCAACTATGTCAATGTGCCCCCTACCCTGGTACTATATATAAGCATCTCATTTAGATAATATTATCATTTTTTCGATACTGACCCATTTTGCTGTCTTTATCACTGGCTCTTAGTGGGGAGGAAAGGCAGGAGAAAAGGTAAGTATTATTGGAAATACATTTCAAATTTTAAAAATTGTTAACTTCTGAAACATACTTACCTTCTCTCTTACTATAGCTAGAATCCCACGTTGATAAGGTGGAAGGGCCGGTGAGGGCATTATCCATACAGAAACCATTTGTATAGAACGTGGGCATGCCAAAGGAAGATTAGCACCCTAGTGAGGGAACCGTACTACATCCAGAACAAATATGCTCTTAACATGGAACTTAATTCATGTACTGTGAGTGGAATTTTATATGATCTGTCATCACCAATGGCCAGGCCCCAACCAGATAGCCAAGGTTCCACTGCTCAGGATTGGAATTATATGGCCATGGTCCCTGTATCCCACATTGGTGGCTAGGGCAGTTGTACTGCAGTATATATATATATATATATATATATACTTGTGAGTGGATCCTAACCTGTAGCTATAGAGTGAAGTGTTCCCAGCCACCAGAATCATGATGAGAAGGTAAGGAACACTGAAGAGGACAAACCTTCTCCTCAACCTGAAGAAGTCCAAAAGGCAACACCCCAAACTCAAAATGAAAAGATCCCGTAAGCCATATGCAACCTGAGGAAACAGAACTCATCAAGCCTGGAATTATGAACACACATCTTCAGTCCCCAACCAAGTGGGCAGGATAAATTCCTTTTGTCTCCAGAATTATGGGGAGGATGTGGAATAAACTGTGCTCAATCAAGGACCCGGGCTGGGACCACTCTAGATTCGGAATTATGAGAAGACAGTGTACTGAACCAATATTGATCAAAAAGAATGGCTACACTCAACCCAACCAGATAGCCGAGTATCAAAATCTGAACTGGTACTATGAGTAGGTACCCAGCATAGGCTGGTGCCTCATCTACCAACATCTAGGGTCCCGGGCAGGAGGGGTCCCCAACATCGCCCTCTTCTCTAAAAGTGGAAGAATTTACTTGAACACTCTGGAGTAACAACCTCTGTCCACCACAACAGTGACTGGAAACTGGGTGTGGTAAGGAATCCCTAGCTCCACTAGTAGAATCTGAGGGGTAATGCACATTGGGGAGTCCTGAGGAAAAATGATCTGGAAACAGTGCAATTGATGAGCCAAGTTTCCTAGATCTTTATAAGCAAACTGACACCAATTTATTCAATTCAATGATTGGCAGGGATGGGCAGGATCCCTTATGTTTTACTCATGATAGTCCATGAGTGGCAGTCCAGCATAGTACAGTGGTACCACCCAGTCAGTCACCTATATAAAGTATATTGAATTAGGGGTTGCTAGTGTGGAACTGGTTTGAGAAAACCACACCTGCCTGGGCAACACTCGCCACAGAGTAGGATCCTGTGAAAATGAAGTAATGGACCCTGAAAGGTAAAGAAGAGACACGAGCAGTAATGACAATACTCACTGTTACGTATTGAGAATTTAAAATAGTCCAAAGCCGATATTTTAGTTAATTTATGCTATTTGCCAACACAAGATTGACACACACACCATCTTCATTTTTACACAAATATGTTTTAATATACATACAACAGTACAATTTACAACAACAATTATTACGAATAGTTACCACAAGCAAAGTTTTATAAAACAAAAATTTAACTAACTTACAAACAACATAAAATCTTCTTTCTAGTTCATAGTCTCCTTGATGTCCAGTGAGTTTTGAAGTCGATGTATGTACAATTGCCGAGAAGCTAGCTAGCTTTGTCAGACAACGAATTGTTGGACCGTCGAAGTAAGATAATATTTTCATAAAACCACTACTGTCCAATGGGAATTCAGTAATACTTTCGGAAAGATACTAACATCCAATGAGAATCCACTGACGTTCGAAATTTATAACTGTTCCTGGTCAAATGTCATATATTTTCCGGTTGATAAGGGTTAGCAAAATCACGGTTTATAGCGTACACAGTTATAACAGGTTCCTAGCAGACTCATAAGCTCTCTATTTGTATTTTTTGGCACGTCGCCTTTTACAGGCGCTGGAAAGATTTTCTCGAAAGTTCGGACAATACTGAACTATATTTAACCGGTTACGGAAGTGGATATATTGTCAATTCTTGCATTCACAAATATTTTACAATCTTGGAGAATTGGCGGGAGTTTCAACATACATCACTAACACTGTAAGCTAGGCACATTTTTAAATATAAACTTATTCCAAACAAATGTTGTCATTAAAATAAATATATAACAAATTCGTTACATGCAATACATATCTGACACAAT